ACCAAATGGACATTTAAAAATTATAAACACTAAAAAATAAAAACTAATAAAAATGAAATACAACAAAATTACAAAAACTTTGAATTCAATTAAAATGAAAACTAAAAATAAATAATAAATCGAATACAATTGCAATGCTCTCTTGGCAGGTCTTCCAGCCACTTCTATCAAACCTCTACAATTAATCCAAAATGCCGCTGCAAGATTAATCTTTAATGAGCCGAAAAGAACGCATGTCACACCTCTGTTCATCAATTTGCACTGGCTATCAGTAGTTGCTCGCATGAAAACCGATGAGTCCTTAACCATCTTCAAGAAACGACTAAAAACACATCTGTTCCACCTTTATTTGACCCTCTAACTCTAGCACTTTCTATTCTATTTTAATTCTACTTTATATTTATCTATTTTTTTTAAACAAACAAAAAAAACACTAGCTTTCTATTTTTTCTATTCTATCTACTTATTTTCCACCATAATTTGCAAATAAATTCTTTAAAAATCCTACAATGTGATTTTCTGGATTTTTTTTTTCTCATTTTGTCTCTCATAGTTGAGGTATACCTATGATGAAAATTACAGGCCTCTCTCATCTTTTTAAGTGGGAGAACTTGCACAATTGGTGGCTGACTAAATACTTTTTTGCCCCACTGTATATATATATATATATATATACATACACACCTTGCTACGTGTACTGCGTTAGGCTAACCGAGACTAGTCATTTGCACTTATATATTGTTGCTCTTTTGTTAGTTTTGATTGCTTCTATTGTCCTCATTTGTAAGTCGCTTTGGATAAAAGCGTCTGCTAAATGACTAAATGTAAATGTAATACAAAATATTCACAAAAACTATATATCAGTGATACTGAAATAAGAGTCTTTCTTTTCTTGATGTGCATTACAATGCCTACATGCATAATTTGAAAACTTGATTTCCACAAACAAATGCATAAATAACACAAGATAAAATAAGAATCAAACCCACATTGGAAGAAATATAGGGTCATGAGAACTGCGAAAATCGTTATTTAATATGCACAGAAAATGTCTTGTATGATTAAATGGGCTTGTGTCTGTACCATCTGTTCTGCATTCAGTTGCTAATTTGTGTTCAATTAAAACACACTGACATCCATTATTCATACTAGGCCTGCTTTTGTTAGTTTGCGTTTTAAAAAAGGATGGTGTTCATCTTCACATAAGCAATGATTGCATCGATCCATCTCACCCTATTAAGGTGACTTGAGATCAAGCTTGTTTCTTTTGTTGTTGTGCAGGTTTGAATAAATGTAGGAAATCAGTATCAGCAGAAAATGACATCAATCTGGAGCCCTGGATACAGGATGTAATTTCAGGCAACGCTCTGTAGCAGGAAGCTGCTTCACAAAATAGCATGTTTATGGCCAAGGGCAGAGCCACATATAATACACAGCATAAAAACAGGCTTACCGTTTTAAAAGGCTGAGTAATTCCTGGTTTTGGCCTGTCGTCTGCTGACAGACAGCGCCAGGTGGCTGATCCTGCCAGGATGAAGAAGCAACTGGTCAGGACAATACACTTACCTGCTTTCATCATATCTGAGGCTTTGCAGATGGTGGATCACTGACCTAAATGTGGACTTGACATGTAAAGAGTGGAACAGATGAGCTTTTGAATGCCAGTCTGATCCAGTTTTGTGCCCTGACTAATAACGATCAAATAAGCCATATACATGCATTGCATTCAAAAAAAATGTATATGCTAACTACCATCAAAAAACATGCAATGTTTATATGAATTTAATATTTAACTCTGTATTATAAATTTAGAAGAAAAAAAAAGACAATTCAACATGTAGATGAGCTTGTTTCATTTTTAACAGATTTAGAGAAATTTAGTATTACATCACTTGCTCACCAATGAATCTTCTGCAGTGAATGGGTGCCGTCAGAATGCGAGTCTGTTTTTAACACTAGACCATTGCTTCTAGCCAAAATTTGACTCCATAATCCATAACAACTCTTCCTCCATGCAGTGATAAAGTCCTCTGTTGTTCACTCACATCAAACTTCATCCACATATTTTTCTGGAACTGTTTTGGACGGTTTCAGTCCTGTGCATATTTCTCTCCTGATTCAGACGAGAAAACGTTTTCACTGGATAAAGAAATATTATAGAGGACTTGTATTTTAGCCAGAAGCAACGGTTTGAAGTTTCCAAAATCTAAATGATGGATGGAGTGTTTCTTACAAACACTCAGCTTTTTACTTCACAAGACAGTAACTGATGGACTGGAGTTGTGTGGATTATTTGTGGATCATTGTGATGTTTTTTATCAGCTGTTTGAACTCTTATTCTGACGGCACCCATTCACTGCAGAGGATCCATTGGTGAGCAAGTGATGTAATGCTACATTTCTCCAAACCCATTCCGATGAAGAAACAAACTCTACATCTTGGATGTCCTGAGGTTGAGCACATTTTAATTTTTGGGTGAACTATTCCTTTAAGAAATTAATCTGACTTTTCCAGGCCTGGAAATCACAATAACAAAATCTTCCCTGTTATTAAATTTTTTTTTATGACTGTAGGAACCTTTGTATATTGCCATTTTAATTGTAATCAGTGTAACAAATATATCCCTAAACCAATGCATCGAAAGAGACCTTTTACACCCGTATTAAAATCAGTATAAATGCATAAAAATTAGCAGCTTTCTTAAAGCACAGTAAACATCGAAACATTTGAAGTTCTGAATTGTTGCTCCATTAAAGTGTAAATCACAGTTAAATTATGAAGCATAGAACAGTGCCTGGAAAACTATGTCTCATCTATGTTTCAAAGGGGTTTCTGCGTCATAGTGTATAGCGTCAATGGAAGGATTTAAAAAGGATCAGAGTTCCCTGTAGTGTTGTGGGGCTTAACGTGTTGTCACTGTAGACAGTTTAATAATCCCACGAGCCACACTTTCATTGCCCTCAGCATGTTTACATATACCCACATATCCACCACAGCATACCTATTATCTCTCTTATAGAACCGACAATGACACACAGGGGAAATGATGCATGTTTCTGAGTGATGCTGTTCAGTGATAAATCTGAGCCTCTGTGAAGCCCAGAGCTCCACATAAACATCATAAAAATACAAGCAGCCTCTCTATCATACGTGATTTTTGAAGAAAGCGTAGTTACACAAATTTAAAATGTTACTTGACACTAGAAAGTTATTTAATGCTGATCTTCATCTCTTTATCCCCCAGTCGCAGTACAAAGAGCAAATCGGACATGAAACTCAGGGTTTTCACAATTTTTGACCAAAGAAATTTCATGACATGCCCTTTCAAGTCCTTCGTGATTACTGGATAAAGGATAACGGGATATTTTAATTAATACACGTTTAGATTTATATATGTAATTTTATATGTTAATTTAGAATCTCTCTCTCTTTCTCTATATATACAGTGGGTACGGAAAGTATTCAGACCCCTTTAAATTTTTCACTCTTTGTTATATTGCAGCCATTTGCTAAAATCATTTAAGTACATTTTTTTCCTCAATGTACACACAGCACCCCAGAAAAAACACAATTGTTGACATTTTTGCAGATTTATTAAAAAAGAAAAACTGAAATATCACATGGTCCTAAGTATTCAGACCCTTTGCTGTGACACTCACTGTAGATGTGTGTGTGTATGTATATATATATATATATATATGTGTGTGTGTGTATATATGTATATATGTATATATATATGTGTGTATATGTATGTATGTATATATATATATATATATATATATATA